CAATGGAATAAAAAATAAAAAAATATAGCGGAAATATCAACGATCAAAATGCCTCTACCACGCACTTGAGTATAAAATTGCCTTTAAAATACACTTTAGTAAAAGTAAATTGGTTAAATAATTCGTTCACAATTTTGGCGGCCGGATAAAAAGAGCCTCAAAATTGTGGTACCTATACAGTCGCTGCTCTAGGGCTCTGGCATTTATTCCTTTGAAAATATTCGTAGTATACCAGTATGAAACTTCGGGACTATATTTTTGAATAATTTTTCAATTGATTAGAGCGAAAATTTTCTGTTTAATTTTTTTTTTAAATTCTATAGGTATTGTTAAGGGGGGGGAGAATAATTTCTTATCGGAAGAGAAATTGTTCGTTGTTGATGAGTTGAATGATAATCGCCAAGCAATGACCTAATCATTTTACCTTCGAGTGATCACCGGAGAGAAATAACATTTTTAGGATGTTAAAATCAGTCTAAACGTAAATTCATACAAAACCAAACCGACACCCACAAAGACTTTCGTAACATCAGCTTTCAGTGGCATTCCAGCTTCTCAGTTAAACTTGAGGATGTAGAGCTATATAGAATTGAGTATGAATAACAATTGAAAATTTATTTGCAATATAGCATGAACATATTTCTGTGAGTCCACAGAATTTCATCGATTTGTCGCGATTTTACAATTTTATCGGGCTCTAAAATTCCGCTTCAAATGTTGAAATTTTAGTGACTCTCTTTCTGCACGTCCGTCCGTGCAAGCTGTAACTTGAGTATGAATTGAGGTATCATAGAAAATCAAGAGAATCTGTGGTCTAAACAAATTGCTGAAATGGGCGTGGACTCGTTATATAAAACATTTAATGCACATATCTTCTCAACTACTTAAAATACAATATCCGAATTCGCTAAGGACAAGTCTCTTTAGCAACTCTACCGAACATCCATACAACGGTTCTTTTAAAAAGAGCTTAAAGTGCGATAAATCAATGAGTAAATGCTCCAGAAATATAAAATTTTGTACATCAAATAATACAAGAGGACTTTATGGCAGGCGTGGTACCGCCGGTGAAAATACATCTTCTATACCGATCCCAACCAAAGTTAGTATAATATTTTGATCAAGTTGTAAGATGAATTTTTAATTTATACTGCGAATCGGTATTTTTTTCTGTAAGTTTGCGTTACTGGCATTTAACATGCCAGTAACCATTTATGCTAAATTTCATCTCAAAATATTCATTACGATTTGAAATACGCATCATTTTACGACGCTCTTAAAGTGGGTTTTTGGATTTTTATTATGTCTGTTATATATTCACTACTCCTATCTTGACTATTGCTAATTTGAATGCCATCTGATTTTTTTACTTTCCAGTATGCAAATAAAACACTAACGAATGCGTCGGGACAAAACTTCACCCGAAAATTACAGAAATTATCCGATAAACAATTCCTTTAGTCCTCATATGCCTAATAGAGAGTTTTCGAACTTCCGGTTGAGTTTATACCGCATATATTGGCAAATTTTGAGTTATAACAAACAAACAATTGGGAGAGCATGTTTCTCTAACCGAGTGAAAACTTCACCTACCCCTGATATAACTAATATAGGACTTTTAGAACATCCGGCTGACTTTACTCCATGGTGATTGGTGTGAGGTACCGTAAAGAAACCCAAGGTACTTTTTTTTAGTATGCATGATGCTTGGATTCCGGTCATCAGTATGAAATGTTAGGTTGCACTCGAACTTAGCGCTTTCTTACTTGTTTTTACTTAATCAAATGCTTTGCTACATTATTTTCTACTATGGTACTATGATCTATAGCAGCGCCGCGACGTATAGAGTTTTAGGAGTATTCAAAATTTAAAATTTGTAAACCTTTGGTTATATTATTGGCGTTTTTGAAATGTTATTTAGCCTATGTTCACCGCAGATGGTGTAGCTTCTCAACGGTGAATAAATTCGGAAGATTTGATTCCTCTTTACAATACAGGGTGGCGAACGAATCGTGCTACAAAA